TTTTAGTTTTTAAATGTGGGTCATACTGAAACAAAATGCTATAAAATGTCAGAAAATGACAAAAATTAAATTAAATTATTATTTTCTGTAGGAAGGAACTATCTTTTGAATTGTTTTTTTCATAATGAATTATTAAAGCATTACATAGTCATACATTTGTGTTAGACAAAATTCTGACCAATTATATTTAAATTGAAAATTAAATTAAATTATTAAATTAAATTAAAATTTCAGTTCCTTAGCACTATTTGTGTTTCAAGTACTCAATTGCCATGTGTATCTAGTGGATACCATGAATATCACAGATTATAGAACCTCTATAACTGCAGAAAATTATATTAGACAGCATTACTTTATAAATAGTATCTACTCTGCTACAAAATTTATAATTTAAAGTGATAAAGTTCCCATTTCTATAAGTAATCAAATGTTTTATGAAACCATATCCAAGTGCATTTTATACAGGTACACCTACTCTTACATAGTGGAAATTCTTCCCAATTCCACCCCTGTCATAATTACATTATCATTTATAAATTACAATTAAATAAATTACATCAGAATAATCAAGCATGAAGTAGCATGTTTAGAAAGAGGAGAGCAAAAAATGATGGTTAATAGCTTTCAAACTCCTTAATAGTTTTCCATTTCATGTGTAAAGGAGATACAACTGTAGTGACTTCACCTAAAAATATTTATTTAAAAATCATTAAACCCTCTCTATTTTTACTTCATATACTCTAACATAACTATTTCACTCGAGATCTGTAATATTCTATTTCTGAATATATTCATAAACAAATATATCTTTAGAATATATCAGCATCAGTTGAGAAGTTTTCCAATAAGATATATCTTTCAGATCAAAATTTTAGATGATATGAATCTGATGCATATTTGTGTTCATTGAATACCTTTAAACCTTTGTCATAACATCAATCATATTCTCACAGTGAATAATCAGAAAATATTTGTAAATGTTGAAAATCTCATTATAAAAATATGAAAGCTGCTCATTTAACTGCACTGTACTCTTTCACATATCCAAATCTATGTTTTCTACTAGTCCCTGTAACTTATAAGTATTTAAAAAGAGTTGTCAATTCACTTGGTAAATGTGATCCTTATAACATTCTATTTGCCCTTTGTCTTTCCCATCCTAAGACAAATCATATCAAGCCAAAATAGTTTATTTTTCACTACAAGCCCTAGTTATTTTTACAGAAAATGAATAGTTACTTTTAAAAAATGAAACAAAATGAAAATATTTATCATTAACAGCCCTTGGCTCAAATTTAATCTCATTTTAATGATTCAGAAAATGCTTAAAATCTTGACTTGAAATCATCATGAAAAATATTTCATTAATCTATATATATTCAGAAATGTTGGCATAGTAGTAAAAATGTCATATACATCTCTCAGATAAATTTATTCAGCATCTTTTTAAATGGCAACATAAGGTTTTATATCTAAAATAATCACTAAGAAAAATTGATAGTTTTGTAGAGTTATTTTTAATCTTCAGATTTCCTTGTTTTGGTCAAGTTTGTAGAACTGTCATGACTTAAACAAATTAAAAGTAAAATACTGGACTACAATTGATTTGTAAGTAGCAGAGCTGAGCTTGTCTAACCTCTATAATTATAAGGGAAACATAAATGTTTTAAAAGGAATATACATACAACAGTTCATAAATTCCATGTAATTGCAAAAATGGCATTGATGAATTTTCTCCTATATGCTTTGATTAAACTGAATATTTGAGGTCATGGTTTACTCAAAATTTGAAGTACACAAAAATCCTGGCTTGTTGTTTGTAAAATAAAATAATTTATTTAACAAAATGTTTTAAATACACACCTTAATCAGTTGGTAGTTTTGAACTCCATTTATTCCTATGTCAGGATCAATGGCCACAGGGAGAGGATACCGAGAGTTTATAGCAGAGTTCTCTGGAATTGATATGTTGATGACTGTTGCCGGGAATAACGGTGCATTATCATTTATGTCTTCTATCAGAAAACGAATCTTAACCAGTTTAAATATTTCATCTGGCAAAACAGCAACTTCCACTTCGTAAAAGCATCTGGAATCTATCAAGATACCAGCGCATAATTTTTCGCGATCAATGCGAGCGCCAGTAGTGAAGATCTCACCAGTACTCTCTTCAATCCGAATCAGTGGCACATCCCCAGTCTTGTACACTAGCTTGAACTGCATAGGAGATGTTAAGGACTTGTCGGGAATGAGTGACAAGTTGAGGTCTTTCAACAAGTCACCTATTAGGACGTTTTCTGGCATTTCTTCTCGGACTGTATAGTTCTTCTCTTGGGCGCCAGACTGAAACACGACGCATGCTAACAAGACTGCAAATATATACGTCCCGGACAAGAAGTCCATACCAGGCACGACTCTAATGATTCTTTGTATCAAGATACAGAAAACTGACAAAGAGAAAAGAAGAAAAGAGACAAAGGAAGAAAAAGTAGAAGTAATTATTAGGAATTCAATCATAAACATACCTATTAACTAAATACTCAGTTTTAAATATAAATCATTAATTGAAATGTTAGCACAATTGACACTAATAAATGAATAGCAAATTGGTTTTCAATCAAATATTGTGCGTTTTTACATTTAGAAGATGAAAGAAGACCTAGACAGCAATTAAGAGACCTAGGGTATTTACAAGTACCCACTATTGATAAAGTACATGAAATATATTTTAATATACCAAGATAAAGTTAGTATAAGTAATTATAATCTTTAATTCAACTATTAAGAAAATATAAAAGGATATTTGTTATCAATCACAAAATACATTAGTATTCTTTGTTATGAATTTCAGAGGTAATTTTTGGCAATGAATATTTTATTTTTTATTTTTTATTGGAAATTTGCACCTTTACACAATCTCTATTGATTCTTATTTTTTTCCCCATTCCCCTGCCCTCCCTTCAATCCCTCCATCCCTCCCTATTTACAAAGACTTTGTTTCCATTTTTACATTTTCTCAAATTGATTCCATTTCCTTCTTTCTTCTCCCCTACCTCTCCCACTTCCCCTTCCCTTTTGTCCCTTTTCTTCCTGTTTCACATTGTCTATTATACTTTTTAGTCCTTATTTACACTTTTAGTTGGAGTGTCTTGGTAGCCTTTGCCACTTTGAATCTAGAGTCCATTTTGTTGCTGCCTATTCTCTTTTGAGCTGATGGTGGAGAATTAACATTCACTAATTGGAATGTAGAGAACTCTGAATGTATTATGGATATGTTCTGAGTCCTCACAGGTGACCTCGCTAAGGAAAACCATTGGCAGAGAGGAAATGCAATCTGCACTTTTTATGTATCCTTAAGTGTCCGCAATGAACATTTTATACAACATTAGGTATCATCAATTCTGGACATCAAAATACAAAATTTGACCTGGATAAAAGTAAGTAAAGAATCATGACATATGAATCACTCAGGAAGTCTGACTTTAAAGAAGTCCCTTGGGAGAGATGAGGGGTTGATGTGACAAATTCCTAAACATGAAAAAAAAACTATTGTGTGAAAAATGGATTTGAGTTTTCTTACTTGACTTGAGATAAACGAGAATAGGTAAGAATTATAGGGGAACAACTTTTACATAAACATAAACAAGAGCTCATTAAAAATTCTCAGTGGATAGAGAATATCATACACTTAGAGTTACTGATATAATACAGAAGCTGGACCATCAGTCTCCATCCACATATTCAGTATTTTTGTGTGTGTGTGCAAGTACCTTACTTTTTATTTTGTTTATTAATACATATTTGCAGTACACTAAGTTTACATTGATCTTCGAGGTAGGTACATGTACATAATACATCATGATTCAGTTTTATTCCCTCCCCCATCCACCTACCTCCCTCTCTCTGTCTATAAATCCCATTTCCCTCTTTTGATTATTATTATAAATTTTAGCTTGTTTATATGACATATAAGGTTTACATTCCTTGGGTATGTTTGGTACATATACATGACACATCTTAAATCATTTTCTTCCCCTTCCCCACTTCTCTTACCCAACCCTTGGCCTGCTGGAACCCTTCCCATTTGTAAAAATCCTATCTCTCTGTTTATTTCTATCCATCCTCTATTTTGCTATTTATTTATAATTGCCTTGCTTAAATGAGAGATACCATAGAGCATTTAAATTTGTGTGTCATATTTATTTCACTTAATGTTATATTTTCCAGGTATAATCATTTTCCTACAAATGTCTCTAACTTATTCTTCTTTATAGCTCAGTAGTATTCTATTATGTATCAATACTACATTTCTTTATCCACTTGTCTGTTGATAGACATACAGGCTCCTTTCAAGATTTATTTATGAATAGGGCTGCAACAAACAGTTGTATACATGTAGCACTATAATATGATCACTTCAGTTCTTTTGGGAAGATGTCTAGTATGGGCATATCTGGGTCAAATGGAATTTCTACATTTAATTATTGGAGGAAACTCAATATTAGTTTCCATAAGGCTTGTACTAGTTTACATTCATACCAACAATGTACTATGGTTCCTTTTCACAACAGCCACAACAATTGATGTTATTTAATTTCTTGATTACTGTCATTCTTTCTAGTGTGAGATGAAATTTTAGGATTATTTTAATTTGTATTTCTTTAATGGTCAGAGATGATAAACATTTTTAATTGTTTACCATCTATTTGTACTTCTTCTGAAAAGTGTCTATTCATTTCATTTGCCCATTATTTGATTGGGTTATTTATTTTGGGTGATGTGATTTTTCAATTTTTTATATATCTTAGATATTAGTCCTATAAGGAATAGCAAGCAAAATTTTTTCTCATCCTATAGGTTGTCTCTTTATTGTTTCCTTTGCAGTGCAGAAGCTTTTTAATTTGATATGGCTCAATTTGTGGATTCTTGCTGTTATTTCTTATGCAACTGGAATTCTGTTCAGAAAGTCCTTCCTATATGTATGACTTCAGGTATAAGTCATATTTTATCCTCCAATAGGTTTATTATTTCTGTTTTAATGTTTAGATGTTCTTCCATTTTGATTTTAGTTTAGTACATGGTGATAGTGAGAGACACAGTTGCAGCTTCAATCTTCTATATATGGATAGCCAGTGTTTCCAGCGACATTTGATAGTTTATTTTTCCTCCAAAATATGTTTCTGACCACTTCCTTGGATATCAAATAGCTGAATGTGTTTGGGTGTGTTTCTGTATCCTCTGTTCTGTTCCATTGATCCACATGTCTGTTTTTGTGTCAGTATTGTACCATTTTTCTCATTGTGGCTTTATATTATAACTTGAAGTCATGTATTGTGATGCCTCCTGTTTTACTCTTGTTGCCCAGGATTGCTTTTGCTTTCTGGGTCTCTTCTGGTTCCCTATGAATTTAGGACTGTTTTTTCCAGTTCTGTGAAGAATGCTGTTGGAATTCTTTTAGGTATTTTTGTATTTTTTAAAATTTTATTGGTACATTTTAGATATACATAATGATAACTCATCATAAGGAATTTGTACCTGTACATGATGTATCTTGCTTTTTTCCCATTCCCTTCCACTCCCTTCAACCTCCTTCCCCTCCTTATTTACTAAAGCTTCTTTTCCATCTATTCTCTTTTGTTTCTTCTCCCTTCCTTCCTTTCCCCGTCTCCCTCCCTTGTTCCTCTTTCCATTTGAACAGATTAGAAGATTCAGAAACAGCTCCAAACATACTCAGCCACCTTATTTTTAACAAAGGGGCCAAACACCTTCACTAGAAAAAAGTCTCTTTAATTAATGGTGCTGGAAAAACTGGATTTCCACATGCCAAAGATTAAAATTAGACCTATATCTCTCACCATGCACTAAACTAAAATTGAAGTGAATCAAAGATCTAAATATTAAAATAAACACTAAACCTGCTGAAAGATAGAATACGTAAAACACTTGAAGATATAGGAGTAGTCAAAGACCATGAACAAAACATAGACCATATGGAAAATACTACAAAGAATCAACAACTGTTATATCATCTTATTAAAATGTTTTGCACAGCAAAAGAAACCACCAACAGAGTGAAGAGCCAACCCACAAGGTGGGAAATAATTTTGCCAGCTGTTCCACAGACAAAGGACTAAAACTTAGAATATATAAAAAAAACTCAAAAGAATCACACCTCCCAAATTTAAAGACCCAGTTCAAAGATGAGCATCTGAAATTAATAGATATTTCTCAGAAGAAGAAGTACAAACAGCAAGTAAACATATGAAAAAACGTTCAACGTCACTGGTCGTTCGAGAGATGCAAACGCAAACAACGCTGAAATTCCACCTCACTCCAGAAAGAATGGCTATTATCAAGAAATCAACCAATAACAAATGCTGGTGGGGCTATGGGGAAAAAGGAACCCTTCTCCACTGTTGGAGGGAGTGTAGACTAGTGCAACCAGTATGGAAAGCAGTGTGGAGACTCTTCAAAAAATGAATACTAGAGATTTCATTTGACCCAGCTCTTCCCCTTCCTAGTATCTTTCCAAAAGAAATAAAAGCATCATACCACAGAAATGTATGCACACCCATGTTTGTAGCAACACGGTTTTTAATAGCTAAATCTTGGAAACAGCCCAAATGCCCATCAACCAATGAATGGATAAAGAAGATGTGAAATTTTTTATACAATGAAATAATACTCTGCCATAAAGAAAGATAAGCTTGAGACATTTCTATGTAAAGGGATGCACTTGAGACCATACTTTTAAGTAAATTAAATCAGACCACATATTTAAATACTGTTTCTCTGGTGTGAGAAACCAAAAGTGTAAATAAGGACCGAAATGTAAAATACATATTGGGAAGTGGGAAGAAAATTCTGTTGGAACTTTGATTGAGATTGCATTGAATCTATATACAGGTTTGGGGAGTATGGCCATTTTGACAATACAGTATTGGTTCTGCCTATCCAGGAACAGGGGACATCATTCTAATTTCTAATGTTCTTTTCAATCACCCTGTCAAGAGTATAGTGATACTCCAGTTGTAGAACATCTCCAACCTCAAACTTTCCACTACACCCACGGCAAAGTTTAAAAAAATAGTTTGACTTGAAAAAAGTTGTACTGGCTGAGAGTGAGTCATGCACCGTGTTTCATCTCTGACACAGAAGGGTGACACTTCAGTCTAAGTGTTGCTCTTGCACAAACAACATACCTTTATTTGCTTTTCCACTTATTTCTTAGGGGAAAAATCAGTTCTCAAACTTTTCAGTGTTCGAACATGAACTTGGAACAAATTGAGTTTTACAACCAAGGATTCACTGTAGTTTAGTTTTCATTGTAGAGGTCTTTGACTTTATTAGAATAATTACTAGGTATTTAGTTTTTCTTGATGCTATTGTGAATGGTATTATTTTCCTAATTTCCTTTTCATTGAGTTCATTATTA